GGCAAAGGACCTCGAGACGGGAATCGAACTCGGGTCGCCGTGAGCGCAGTTGTGCTGAATGTCGACGCACTAACCACGAGGCTATTGGCGCCGACTGTCGCATTTTTATTGGCTGGTCAGTAAACGTGGGCTGTAGCAGCAAACACACTGTGCAATGATCATACTGATTTTTTGACACTGTCAGAAAATTAGCGTAGGCTATCATTGGTCGCTAGGCCTGTATATGCAGATTAATTAATTCAAAAAATAATTTCGTAATCTTTGCTAAAAAAAAAGCTCCTAAATAAAGATAATTTTAAATCATTACACTTTTGTGGCAGATCAATATTGTAATCCTTGAATAGACAGTATTACACTTAATACAGTGTTTTATTTCCATATATATATATATATATGTATATGTTTTTGTCTTTTGTTCACTAAGACTAAAATTATTTGATTAAAAATACAGTAAAAATCAGTAATATTGTGAAATATTATTACATTTTAAATTGAAATAAATTTTAGTCATTTCTCTAGACTTCAGAGTCATATGAACCTTCAGAAATCATTGTAATATGCAGATCTTGTGCTCAAGAAACATTCTTTTTTATTATTATCAATGTTGAAAACAGTTATGCTGTTAAATATTTTTGAGGAAACTGATACATTATTTTTCAGGATTCTTTGATAGAAAGTTCAAAAGAACAGCATTAATTTGAAATAGAAATCACTTGTAACATTAGTAGTGTCACTTTTGATCAATTTAATGTATCCTTGTAGAATAAACCTATTAATGTTTTGTCAAAGAAAAATAATAATTTACTGAGCCCAACTTTTTAATGGTACTGTATGTTCAAGTATGAATTATACTAAATTAATGTGTTAAATAATTCAGTCCAAATGAAAAAAATAAATACAGCCCAAAAAACTTGATTTTGTACATTTAAGAAGTTCAATAATTATAAATATAGCTGCAAGCAGCAATTAAGGGGCCAAGCACAACGGAGGCAAAATGAGGAGCATCAGACCAACTGCAACAATGAGTAACTGAAGCCATTTTAGGATAAGTTTAGTCAAAATGTCTGAAAAATGTATTTGGCAATATTGGCAATTTTGGAAAAATATGGCAATATTGATATCCATTTTCTTGGTATGACACACGGAAAATTTTTAGACCAGTTTCATTACAATAAGCTAATTTAATCAAAATGTATTGGCATTTTTGGAAATTTCATTATTAAGGGTTATTGGCTTAAAATGAATGCTTTAACACTTGCATAGGTGGCGCTGTTACCGAATCGATGTGGTATGGTCCGTGTGAGGTGACAATGGCACATGCAAAGTTTGGTGCCAATATGTCAAAGCTTTCCAGAGATACAGCCTCAGATGTAGTTTGCCATGCCAACAATTTTATTGATGCATTATTCGAAAATGGCTTGGTCTATCAAAAAGCTTTTGATAACTTTTTGTCGGGATGGTCTGAAGATGGTCAGAGTCAAATTTGGTGAAAATCAGACCACCTGACTTGGAGGAATTCAAAAAAGTAGGGGAAAAAAAAGATAAATCAATAAATCAATATGGCGGACAGGACATTCTGCTGAATATGGCAAAAATGGTATCTGTGTTCTCGGCATGACCCAAAGAATATATGAAGAGTTTATTTGCAAAAACAGATAACTCCATTTTTATTTACTTTCAGAAATCATGTTTTTTTATTGTGCATTCCGAGTAATATAAATTAAACCAATGCAGTTGGGTTGTTTTGATTGAGTAATAGTAACTTAAATACAGGTAACTTACAAAATTAAAGTTAATTGAAAGTATGAAAGTATGTATATATATATATATATAGAAATTAAAAGAAGCAGATAACCCCAACAGTTGTTTTTTGGCAAAAGCAGTAACTTCACATTTCATGTTTCAGAGTTAAAAACACTCATTTTATTTTTGTAATCTCCTCAGCTGACAATGTAGATGCCTGACAAACGTTGTTGTTGTTGTGATCATAAACTGTATGGATGTGATTACACGCAAGACACAGAGCTTTTTCCTCACCATTGTAACGCACTGCTTTTGCAAGGTTCCGTGAAAAAGTTTCAGCTTTTATTTCCCTTTTTACGCCCTGAAGAAGATATCACAGGTTCATCAAGTTCGTCGAAATTATCCATCCTCGAACACTTTTAGTCAGCTTTGACGAAACTCCTCTCAGCTAGTGCGTCTTTTCAAAGGAAAGCAGCCTTGTCACCTGACCTGAATACAGTGCGCTGATTCGCTAAAATTGACTTATCGGCTTCTGTTCAAAAACATCAAGGGCGCTTATCGGCTTCTGCAGTAAAGCGTGAACTCGCGATGCCTTGAAAGTGGACAATACCGGCTTTTTTGACAAAACTAGTTTAGGGTTCAGATCACGCTATATGTGGAGAATAATGCACGACAATCCGCTAATTTTTTTTTTAAGTGTTAAAGATTTATTTCGAAATGTCATTTTAACTTTTGACCCAAAACTTTTTGAGTACCATCAGGGCATGGTGCCGAAGACACGAAGACACATTTGCAACGATACACAAATGAATGTGTTCTTAAAATATAGCATTTTATGACAAAATTGAAAACGACTGATACCCACAATGGTTGACATAGGAAAATTCGGTATGGTTCGACTCGGCATGCTGCACCAAATCTAAAGATTTTTAGCCAAACCGCCAAACCATTACAAGCAAATATAACCATTTTTCATATCTCCTGACCACTAGGTGGCGCTGCGCAGAAACTGTGCAAGTATGCAAGTAGCATGGGTTTCATAACACACACACCAAGTTTGGCGTGAATATGACAAAGCGTTGGAGAGATATAGCCTCAATTCTGATTTGGTGAGCTTTTCGATTGAAATTGTTTATGCGGTTTTTGAGAATGGATGGGTCATCAAAAAGCTTTTGATAACTTTTTGCCAGCATGGGCTGCCATATACTCAAGAGCGGAAGAAAAAGAACAATAATAGGAACGCCAATGGATACAATCAGCGCCATTGCACCTTCGCTACTTGGCCCCTACAACAAGAAACATACACAAGAGCATTACATGCAGGGAGAGTGTACGTGTGTAACTGACTTGGTCTTTGTCCAGTGGTACGTGGCAATTTTTTGGTCATCGCTGCTCTTGCTGCCGTCCAGCGTGGTACGATCGACAGGCAGCGTCAGCTCCTTGTCTGGACCAGCATCCGCTACAGGTGGCTTGTTATTTTCTGGAGGGATTTCACATACAGCGTGCTCAAGCAAATAGCAGCTTCAAAAATAGATGTGAATCAGAGTGCTCTGTATTTAAAAAGATACCTGGCTGGACAATGACAGTGACCTGAGCCGTGTCTTGCTGGCCAGATGAGTCAGTGACGGTTAGCTGAAAGGTGTAGTCACCCTCCTGCATGGCAGACAGCTGCAGAATGGGTGTTCGCACACCCTATGGAGAACAAAACAAAGGTGTGCTCACTAATCCAATGGTTGGCAAACATAATAAACATAAATGGCATTCGAAATAGCATTGTGATTCTCAAGTACCTGCATCTCCACCACCTTGCCCTTGCTTTCAGGGCTGAGTGACCATTCGTAGGACAGATTCTCGTGGTCATCAGTGCTTTGGTTGCCATACAGTGTGATATAGTTGCGTGGTAGGGTGATCACTTGGTTGGGTCCGGCATTAGCTGTGGGCCTGTAGTCCGTGGCCTTGTTGACTAACAACATGGCTTGGGTTGAATTCTGAGCTCCATCCGAGTCAGTCACTGTAAGACTGTTGGAGGAAAAATAGATAGAGCATAACACACTTTTCCAAACATACTTGTGAGTCAAGTGTTATTTATATTTGAGCATTTTTTTAAATAGTTTGCCCAAGGACAGACTGGTTTGCCAGGTTTTACAGTAGCTCTCTGGTTACTTCCTGAGGTCTGAAGACTTCAGCAAAATGGTTCCAGGGAGGCCCAAAGAAAAGATTACGAACAGGCCATAATGTGCATGAAAAGCTGGATAAAACATACCTGAAGGTGTAGTTACCGGGAACCAGGTTGGTGAGAGTGAGAATAGCAGTATCACCCGAGGCTTTTTCCTCTCTGAGCGGCCCCTTCACCTCCTCCCAATGCCACGACACCACTTTATCATCATCAGTACTCTCTGAGAAACACAAGACATTTATGACCACAGATATTTCATTAGATATATTTTTCTGATATTCTGATTGACAAAACTTACATTAAAACACTTAATTTGTTATTTTGACAATCTCATTATAAACAATGAAGCGGTCACTGCATGTTTCACAATTAATAAACTGTCCTCAATATTCTTTCTTTTTTACTAATAGTGCAGCTCTAGGTTAAGCCTTAGCTCTAATTTACATTACAGAACTGTTTTTCTACTGTCAATAAAAATAAAACTTTTATTCAACAAGGATGCATTAAATTGATCAAAAGTCACAGTAAAATAAATGCTGTTCTTCTGAACTTTCTATTTATCAAAAAATCCTGAAAAATGTATCATGTCACCCTGAATCTTTTTACTGTTTTTTTTAAAGAAAAAAAATGAAGTCTTTCATTAAGCATAAGAGACTTTTTTTATATAAATATTTTTTGCAAATCACAAACCTTTGAACTGTAGTGTACATTTAAAAAAATGGTCAGTAAATAATAATACAATGAGTATAAAATGCTATTGTAAGGATAAAACAACATTAAGTCTAATTTGATAAAAATCTGATACGCACGATTGCCATCAATCACAGTGGAGCTTGTAGGCAGGGAGATTTCCTGGTACTTTGGAGAAACCACTGCAACAGGTGGCTTATTAATTCGCGGCTCTATAGAAAGCAAGAAACACGAGACTTATACATATTTTATGTGACATTTATACGGGCTGCCCAAACAGAGTGCAACTCTGAAAACTGAATCCGGTACAATTAGCAGGTACATCAATACTAAAGTTACCTGGATTGACAGTAACGTTGACGCATCCCTCCCCATGAGCACCGTCACCATCCACTACCACTTCAAACTCATAGAGGCCCACTGTCAGCTAAGGGAAACATTGTTCAGAATATTAGGAAAATCTAGAATATTAAAAAGTCACGCCTTTTAGACAATAAAAGAATAAGAGACCCATTTTTTCTGTACCTTACTGAGCTTAAGTGTCTTGCTGTGTTTACCCTCCATTTCTCCACTGTAGTCTTTTGGATGTGTCCTCAAACGCCAATTAAAGGCATAGTTAGCCCCTAAAGGAATTACCAGAGAAATGAATACAAAGATGAAGGAGGAGGAACTAACTGCAATGGCTTATGCAGAGCAGTACCTGAAGGGGGCGCTGGCACTACGAAAGCATTCAGCTCCACCTCATTGCGCGGTAAAGTGACCTCCACATTTTTGCCAGCAGACACGACCAGCTCTCGCACTGCTACTTAAAACAAATGACATTACACAAGGTTTTAATGCATTACAGATACGTCTGCTTTGTAAAATAGACATTGATTTGGTTTCTTTTTCATTTACTTTGTAAAACTGACGAGACAGGTTGTAAATGCATGCAGTACAATAACACAATTATAGAGAGGAGTATGTTGTACCAGCTGGTGTAGTTGGTGGAGTCACTGAACGGGTGTCAGACGTGGACTGCGGTGACTGATTACTGTTGTTCAATGCTGAATGATCCACAGTGTCTGCATCCAGTGTTGAATTATGCTCAGATGCTGAGAGTGCTACCTGTTCTCCACTGCCACCGGTGGACTGGATGGTGGTCTCACTGGCTGTATGTGGAGGAGCTTCACCATTGGATGTGGTCAGTGGTGCTGTGGGTTTCACAGACAAGCCCTGATCTATTTCCTGTGCGAGTGAAAATATCAGTTAGTTCACAGCGATAGCTTATCGGCTTCTGCAGTAAAGCGTGAACTCGCGATGCCTTGAAAGTGGACAATACCGGCTTTTTTGACAAAACTAGTTTAGGGTTCAGATCACGCTATATGTGGAGAATAATGCACGACAATCCGCTCATTTTTTTTTTTAAGTGCCGTTTATCGGCTTTTGCAAATAAACTCTTCATTACAATAAGCTAATATACTAAAGATTTATTAGTATTTTTCGAAATGTCATTTTAACTTTTGACCCAAAACTTTTTGAGTACCATCAGGGCATGGTGCCGAAGACACATACCAAGTTTTGCAATGATACACAAATGAATGCGTTCTTAAAATATAGCATTTTATGACAAAATTGAAAACGACTGATACCCACAATGGTTGACATAGGAAAATTCGGTATGGTTCAACTCGGCATGCTGCACCAAATCTAAAGATTTTTAGCCAAACCATTCAGATATTACAAGCAAATATAACCATTTTTCATATCTCCTGACCACTAGGTGGCGCTGCGCAGAAACTGTGCAAGTAGCCTCAGGTCATGGGTTTCATAACACACACACCAAGTTTGGCGTGAATATGACAAAGCGTTGGAGAGATATAGCCTCAATTCTGATTTGGTGAGCTTTTCGATTGAAATTGTTTATGCGGTTTTTGAGAATGGATGGGTCATCAAAAAGCTTTTGATAACTTTTTGCCAGCATGGGCTGCCATATACTCAAGAGCGGAAGAAAAAGAACAATAATAGGAACGCCAATGGATACAATCAGCGCCATTGCACCTTCGCTACTTGGCCCCTACAACAAGAAACATACACAAGAGCATTACATGCAGGGAGAGTGTACGTGTGTAACTGACTTGGTCTTTGTCCAGTGGTACGTGGCAATTTTTTGGTCATCGCTGCTCTTGCTGCCGTCCAGCGTGGTACGATCGACAGGCAGCGTCAGCTCCTTGTCTGGACCAGCATCCGCTACAGGTGGCTTGTTATTTTCTGGAGGGATTTCACATACAGCGTGCTCAAGCAAATAGCAGCTTCAAAAATAGATGTGAATCAGAGTGCTCTGTATTTAAAAAGATACCTGGCTGGACAATGACAGTGACCTGAGCCGTGTCTTGCTGGCCAGATGAGTCAGTGACGGTTAGCTGAAAGGTGTAGTCACCCTCCTGCATGGCAGACAGCTGCAGAATGGGTGTTCGCACACCCTATGGAGAACAAAACAAAGGTGTGCTCACTAATCCAATGGTTGGCAAACATAATAAACATAAATGGCATTCGAAATAGCATTGTGATTCTCAAGTACCTGCATCTCCACCACCTTGCCCTTGCTTTCAGGGCTGAGTGACCATTCGTAGGACAGATTCTCGTGGTCATCAGTGCTTTGGTTGCCATACAGTGTGATATAGTTGCGTGGTAGGGTGATCACTTGGTTGGGTCCGGCATTAGCTGTGGGCCTGTAGTCCGTGGCCTTGTTGACTAACAACATGGCTTGGGTTGAATTCTGAGCTCCATCCGAGTCAGTCACTGTAAGACTGTTGGAGGAAAAATAGATAGAGCATAACACACTTTTCCAAACATACTTGTGAGTCAAGTGTTATTTATATTTGAGCATTTTTTTAAATAGTTTGCCCAAGGACAGACTGGTTTGCCAGGTTTTACAGTAGCTCTCTGGTTACTTCCTGAGGTCTGAAGACTTCAGCAAAATGGTTCCAGGGAGGCCCAAAGAAAAGATTACGAACAGGCCATAATGTGCATGAAAAGCTGGATAAAACATACCTGAAGGTGTAGTTACCGGGAACCAGGTTGGTGAGAGTGAGAATAGCAGTATCACCCGAGGCTTTTTCCTCTCTGAGCGGCCCCTTCACCTCCTCCCAATGCCACGACACCACTTTATCATCATCAGTACTCTCTGAGAAACACAAGACATTTATGACCACAGATATTTCATTAGATATATTTTTCTGATATTCTGATTGACAAAACTTACATTAAAACACTTAATTTGTTATTTTGACAATCTCATTATAAACAATGAAGCGGTCACTGCATGTTTCACAATTAATAAACTGTCCTCAATATTCTTTCTTTTTTACTAATAGTGCAGCTCTAGGTTAAGCCTTAGCTCTAATTTACATTACAGAACTGTTTTTCTACTGTCAATAAAAATAAAACTTTTATTCAACAAGGATGCATTAAATTGATCAAAAGTCACAGTAAAATAAATGCTGTTCTTCTGAACTTTCTATTTATCAAAAAATCCTGAAAAATGTATCATGTCACCCTGAATCTTTTTACTGTTTTTTTTAAAGAAAAAAAATGAAGTCTTTCATTAAGCATAAGAGACTTTTTTTATATAAATATTTTTTGCAAATCACAAACCTTTGAACTGTAGTGTACATTTAAAAAAATTAACTTATTATTTTTTGCAGTAGATAACGGCAAAGGTAATCTAAAAATATGGGAAATAAAAATGCACAATTAAATATCAAATATCATACTATATACAGTATACATATATATATATCCTGCAAATCAACAGTTATTGTGTAAAATGTTGCTTTATGACAGTGACATTAAAATTCTATACTAGTATTTTGTCTAATTAAATGAGAAAATCCCTAGATAACTTTAAACAAGCATTACATGATGTCAATGGTAATCTGTCCAAATGTAAAAGTATGGGAAATGAGCATGCACAATTAAATATTCAATATCAGACAGTATACATATGCTGCAAATCAACAGTTAAAGTGGAAGTTTTATGCTTTAGGATAGTGGGTCTCATTTACTAACTCCGATAATCTGGATTCATCAACATTAGAATAAGGGTCATAACAAATATACGTATCTTTCCAGTGAAAATTTTAACACATTAGAACAAAGTCCTTTGAGATCATATAAAGCAGCTTACATGCTCCGTTTCCCTGATTACTCTGATATCCTCAGCATTTCGAGGTTTCCTGCGCATTCTCTTGTTCAGCTGCTGCAGAAGCCCCCACCCCTACCCCAATCCCATCATAGACACTGTTTTGTCTAGAAAGACTGTAACCGTGACAACAGAGGGTTGCTTATTATGGGCTAGCAAGTGAAACTTGAAGTGCCAGGCACAGCCCCTCCCGTGCAGTTTTTCTTTGGGGTGGGGGATTGTGGGCCTGTTGTGTGATTTCCCCCTTTTTGTGAAAAGGAACACAGTGTCCATTATGCTTCCCTCCAAATCAGTGCCATCACTCATGACTGCTACAAGTCACAAATAGCCTATATACACATACATGCTAACACTGGTCCTAACAGTTGACTATCATTTGTCCAACATTCAACTAATGGATTAATGATGCTGACTAGTGTTTTTTAGTTTAGTTTAATATTTTTAGCTGTGTTGTTTTAAAGTCTTTCTATAACTGTTCGCACAAGTTTGTCTGCTCACCATTCTTCTGCCACTGATTTGGAGTTATTTCATACAGAGGTCACAAACCTTCAGGAAAAAAATCTACAGGACCTGCTTACCAGAGACTGAGCAGAGCAAACACAGACAGCCCAGGTACAGTGAGGTAAACTGGATGGGCCATTTCCACCTGTGCATCCTTGGTTCCGCATTGGGCATCTTCCAACTAAGCAAGAGGACCTTGGAAAGAAAAAGACACCGAAGTTATACAGCCATTTTATCTGACCTATGTTAAACAAAACTAAAAGTTGCTTGTAAAGTTACTTAGAATGTTTGTCATAC